TTTATTAAATATATCAATAACTTAATCCAGTACAAACCAAATTGGTCTCCATATTGTGATCCATGATATCAGTGCTTGTGTGTTATGGATTAGAGCAGATAAAAACGAGAAGGTGTACCTTCAATGTCTACGTACTAATAATTCAATGCCCAAATTCACTACTATCCTATCTGTTTATGTACAAGGTGTGGGCACAGTGCTCCTGGGGAGCTCATGCTCACATTGACTACCAGACGTTTTCTTAATATCTGATACGTTAGTAAATATTAAAATGAAATTAAATAGAAAAATTTAGCACACTAGATGTATTTATATATAAATTTTGATAAATGTAGCATTGGTAAAACGGTTGGCATAACTTACATTTCAATAAAAATGTAAGATAAATACAGAATTTTAAGAGCAGTAGCTAACACCTTCAGATAAACGTCGCAATCGCCAGTATGTACATTGTATCATGTCTGTCGGCCCTTTCTTAACTATCTAAGTGATGCAAATTCAATTGTTTTCAGGTTTTAAGGGAAAACAAATATATACAAAAAAATATTTTAATACCTTATTATTTTTATTTTAAAGATCAGATTGTTTTTGTTATATGAAAAGTATAAAAATGAAGCAATTCTATGTAAATTGTGAGTAATTTGTATTTACATTATAAGTATTATTGTAAATGTATTAATAATAAGTAAAATGTTATGTAATGAATGGCTTTTTAATCACTAAGTAATTAAAGTGTAGATCAAAGTTCATAAACTTGTTCTTGTAATAATATAACTGAATGGTTGATAGTTTGTGAACCGCAGACGGAAAGTAAGTCTACTTCTGTGGACTAACTTTCATCTGCATATCATGATCATCATGATCATCATCATCATCATCATCAGCCCACATTCGTCACTGTTGGACATAGGCCTCTCCAAATCCACACCACTGAACCCGGTCTTCAGCTCTCCTCATCCACCTCTTGCCAATCACCGTTCTGAGGATTAACGTTGGTTCAGACTTTGTGGAGTGCAATAATGCAGCTAGCACTGGTCTGTCTACCTTTATCATTATTTGTTACAGTTCACTGTATGTACATTATAGATAGCACTGGGGCCATGAATTTTACACCTATATTAAATATATATGGTCACGTGGAAGGAAAGAGAAGTCGAGGAAGATTGCCAACCAGGTGGACGGACATTATCAAGGAGGCCACAAAGACCAGCGTCCCGGGTGCCATTAAGCAGGCCGAATGCAGGCAACATTGGAGGAAGCTGGTGCAAAAACTGGACCAAGGTGGTCACGACCCTCAGTAATGAGGAAACGACAAAGAAGAAGAAGAAGAAGAAGAATTAAATATATTCTCCATATTCTTCAAATGTTTTGTGACTAATTAAATGTAAATGATGTGAATGTATCCTTATCTATTTTCAATTACACATTTATGTAAATAAAAGTTGTTCTGATTTACATGTTTAAAAATAGGTTAACAAAAAATAACAAACAACGACAAAGACAGACAGACCCAGTGCTAGAGCTACATTATTGCACTCTACAAAGTCTGAACCAACATTAATTCTCAGTATCTTAAAATTTTCAAATGTCTGACTTAAGTTAGTTTATGAAAGGTAGTTTTAACAAGACTTCCATGACACAGCATTCAGACACAAAGAGGAATGTGAAGTATAATCACGAGTGCTCATTAGCCCCATTTACACAATTTATGGACTATTGGCAGTTGTACGCTTTGCCAAAATAAACATTTAAAAAAAAAACATTATTATTACACAAACATCTAATACTCCTGAATGTTAGCCACAGTTTGATGTCAATAAATGTAAATATTATGCTAAACAATACAACTGTACAAGGTGCAACACATATAAATAAACAAACACCTATAGACATTCATAGCATACTGGTCTAATTCCAGCCACTCTCCACTACAAATATCACTAATATTCCAAAAAAAACATCAATTTCCTCAAACTACTCACACACCACCTATCATGTATTGATAGCAGAAACCTTGCCTGAAGTGGCAAACAGCAACTTTGCCAATGTCATCATAATTATACAAACAGTTTAGCTCCACTTAAAAAATAAACCTTCATATAATTTATCAAGACAGATTAAACTACTTAATTATACTATCTCTTTCTAATTCTGTAGATCTATTGCTACTTATATCCTAATTATACAAGTTAAGTTTAAATGCAAGTCTTCAGTATTGAAAGGTATAATTAAGATTTCAGACTAAAATCCGTATAATATTACCATCCATCAAAAACCGTAACACATGAAACATTTCAAGAGTAGATGATATTTGTAGTTGGTGCTTTTGTGCTTTTTTGTAATCAAAATTCATGAAGTCGTATATGCCAGTATTACTAAAGAGTATGGTGAAATAGTACAGAGAACTTTTACATTGTAATTATATCTGTTGGAGAGTATTTTTTTCCAGCTCAAAGTTATTAGTGTTTACTTACGATCCATCAGCATTCCACTCTAGGCAGTTGACGCATCCCATGTGCCCTTGAAGCTCTTTCTCCAACCCAAGTCTGTCGATCATACTCCTCGTCACCATTAATCGGTTTTGGAACTGCCTGTCGATGTCACCTCGCTCTCGGGCCACCGCCAGACCTAAGGTGCCCTTCGCCCATGCCTGTTCCTCCCTCCTACCCATGTCTGCTGTTTTCTCAATATGTCTGAACTACCATCACCAAAAAATTCGCGAATTATCTACAATCAAATCTATTTATAGCATTTCACAATGCAAATTATCGTCCATTATAATACACATAATAGTATTAAATGAATGTTTAATATAGATAGAAAGATATTAATATTAATTGAAGAACAATGGAAAACTTGAGAACTTTTTTGTCTTTAATGAAATTCTCCCGAAAATATTTTCGTGTGACAATTTCAAAATGTCAAGTGCCAAACAGCTGAGTAAAATTGCCAGGTAAAACGTTAAGCAATGAAATTTAAAACATAAATGTGTTTCTGGTCTAAGAATTTGCCATATCATTCTCGGCTTCTTCACAACACGGCATAGATTAGACACTTAATTCGTCGTCGTGGCCTAAAGGATAAGACGTCCGGTGCATTCGTATATAGCGATGCAACGGTGTTCGAACCCCGCAGGCGGGTACCAATTTTTCTAATGAAATACGTACTTGCCAATTGTTCACGATTGACTTCCACGGTGAAGGAATAACATCGTGTAATAAAAATCAAACCCGCAAAATTATAATTTGCGTAATTATTGGTGGTAGGACCTCTTGTGAGTCCGCACGGGTAGGTACCACCACCCCACCTATTTCTGCCGTGAAGCAGTAATGCGTTTCGGTTTGAAGGGTGGGGGGCAGCCGTCGTAACTTTACTGAGACCTTAGAACTTATATCTCAAGGTGTGTGGCGCATTTACGTTGTAGATGTCTATGGGTTCCAGTAACCACTTAACAGCAGGTGGGCTGTGAGCTCGTCTACATACCTAGGCAATAAAAAAAAAATAAAAAAAAAAATTAATACAGCACCGGGAAGGACCCAACAACGGGTGGTCTTGTAGGAAGAGTCCTTGAGCGTGAAAGTGACTGGTGCAGGAGCTAAGCTAGGTGTTTCGTTAGGAAGTACCTACAAAGCTTCAGAGCCGAGTTAACTGCAGAGTAGCACCGTGAAATATACGTTCACGATAAATGTTTCACATGGGAGGGACGCGCCCAGTTCTCGTCATACAGAGTGGTCTCAACTTGTGAGAGCAAAATACACCATCGAAACTTATACTTGCAAGTGGCAATCTAGCATTCGTCTTGCGTTGCCTTGATTTCTATCTAATCTGAGACATAAACGTAAACTATTAAGCGACAAGAGGCTTAAGACGGATCAACTATGACATGCTCCATTTACTACTAATAACGTTTTTACCTACATTAAACTTATTATAGTGATTTAAAACACATTGATAGCCTTCTCGATGAGTTCCTTGCCAATTTATTGCTTATTTGCAAAATTTTGAAGACTGTACTGAAAATTATGAAATGTTCACAAGCGCTTAGCTTTTTTCCGTTTCTTCTCTGTGATACAACACAATTTCAGTGATGATATTCAGTGAATTTCTGAATCGATGACAACTAAGGTTTAATAAACATTTTTTCTCTTTTTTTTCCTACCTTTTCTAGTAACCTCGCTGTAGATTATGTGTATTAACTATGGGCTATATTAAATTCTCCGGTGAGAACAATAGCATGACAGTACGGTAGTGCTTCTGAAAGCTTATAGATTTAAAGTAGATATTTATATTCCTGATGTTTGTTTTTTTTTCCTTTAGTGATGCAAAAAAAAACTAATTACAACCATAGAAATGATAAATTTAAATATTTAATATAACAATCTGGAATGCAATTCAAAACAGGTACTTAAAGAAAAATTATAACAACTTAACAAATGCCTAAATACATTGTTTGTTTATAAACATGTAACATACATGTCTTATCAAGTTTGACAGACTTTTTGGTGGGAACGCGAGGTGTGAAGTTGTGCGATTTGTTTTATTTTGTCTATTTAGTGTTTCTTCAGGTTTAAATGTGTAATAACAGTGTCTTATTAACTGTTTAGTATCTGTATCTGCCGTTGAACGTAACTTCTCGGGATCCTCCAAAAAGTCCACTGAAAAAAATCTCAGTAAACGACCACCATTTTACTGAGATTATATTTGATCCCATGTCATCCCATCTCATTTCATTTCATCCCAGTTGATTAATGTCTCAAATTCTTCATTTCATTTCATAATATCATTTTTCATAAAAATATCCCATATCATATTATCTCATCTCATTTCGTTTCATTTCATGCCATGTCATATTAATCAGCTTAATTTCATTTAATTATATCATATTTCATAAAATAATATATATAAAAGATTAGTCTGTATAGTGTGATACTCTTGCCTTTTCATTTGGAAAAATAAAACTACTACTACTCAAGTTTGACATTTGACATCACTGTCTGATCAAAGGTGGATCAAAGTTGTTTTGAAATTTGTCCATTGTCAAATTATTAATATAATGTTATTACTTACATATTCTAAGTAATTTCTGAATAAAAATTGAGCAATCCATGAATGCGTGTCAATTTTGTTGACCTTTAAAAGAATACTGTACTAAATACATCAATAAACGACGCAACAGTAACAAGTGAGTATTTAACAATTGTTCATTTTTATTATGGTTGTAGATGGTAGATAGGTACCCATAAGGCACATCAGGTGCTAAATAGGTACTCGAACACAGATGCTACAATCTGATATGTTTTCTGATTCATATTTGGTCTTTAGGGCTTTAATTAATTCGATTAAATAAAAGAAGAATTTTTCTCATAACAACAATCCTGCGAATTTGTAGTACTGCAGGATATCATTCCATCCTGAAATTCATTCATTAGCAAATATTAGGTTAATTGCATAAGCCTTTTATGTAAAAAATGGTATCTTCAGAAGAATTTTTATTGGTGGTAGTGGTTGGTAGAGTATCTTGTGAGTTTGCACAAGTAGGTACTACCGCTCTGCCTATTTATGCCGTGAAGCATAATGCATTTCGGTTGGAACGGTGAGGCAGCCGTTGTACTGTAAAAATGAAACTTAGAACTCATGTCTCAAGGCAGCATTTAAGGTATTGATGTCTATGGACTCTGGTAACAACTTAACACCAGGTAGGCCATGAGGTCTACTCTGAAAAAAAAAAACAAAGAAATTTGATAAAATCTGTTAATTTTACATGAATGAATTAGGCTTAATAAATTTTTGCTTAACATTGATTTACCAATTTATTTGCATTGTCTAATTATCTCATTTTTTCTAATTATTTATTTCATACATTAAAAAATTTCCCTAAACCGACTATAGTTTTATCGAAAAGAGATGGGCATCTTTGTTACTGAGTTGTGAAATGTGTGATGATCTGTAGATAACTTGTGCAACAATTTTAATTTCAACTTATGAGGTTAAAAACTAACTGATTATTTACCCGCCCACCTTACTTAAACTAATAGTTTATTTTTCAGATCCACAATGGGCGAACGCAAAGGTCAGAATCTATACTATCCCCCCGACTATGATCCAAAAGTGGGGGGACTCAATAAGTTCCAAGGCACCCATGCTTTGAGAGAGCGTGCCAGAAAGCTCCACATGGGTATCCTCATCATTCGCTTTGAAATGCCGTACAACATCTGGTGTGACGGGTGCAATAACCATATTGGCATGGGAGTGAGATACAATGCAGAGAAGAAGAAGATAGGAATGTATTACACCACTCCGGTATACCAGTTTAGAATGAAATGTCATCTGTGTGATAATCACTTTGAAATCAAAACTGATCCAGGGGTAAGGATCACTTCAGTCTGTGCTTTTACTGTATTTGAATGAGTATTTCATAGCAGAAACTGCTCAGAAGCTTCCAGAAAAACATCAGAAGAAAATTTTGTGGTAAAGACATCAATAGCATTGAGATAATATTATGAGGTCAAAAAGTTATATTTTCCTGAAAATTCATTCCTTGTCTTCAAACAATTAAAAACTCTTAAACCATTTTATATGCCAAAAATATGTTTCCAATATTATGTTAAGTCATTGTGTTACTCTAACTTTTCAACTCACACTTTTAAAGCACAAATCTACATTTTAATAATAATCCAAATTCAAAATTATACTGGGTGTCCCACAAGGAACTATCAAGCTGAAATATGAATAGCGTTATATTAGAATAATCACTTTAACGATCTTGTTCTGACATGCATTACTGAATGAATGGCTTAATGGTACTTTTGTTGTAGAAATTCATTTTCATTTTTGCTTGAAACTACTGATGTATCTTTATTTTTAATATGATCTTCATTGTTGATACTAGTCATGTTTCAGCTAAGTCAATATATTCATTGTGGGACACTCTGTATACATATTGAAATGCTATATCTTATTTTTCCTTAAACGAAATATTATTTCCAGAACTTGGATTATGTGATAGTGTCAGGAGCTCGGAGACAAGAAAACAGATGGGATCCCACAGATAACGGTCAGATTGTTCCGGAAACCAAAGAAGCACAGAAAAAGTTGTTTGACGATGCCATGTTCAGACTAGAACACAAGAAGGGTGATGAGGATCTATCTAAAACTGATAAACCAAGGCTCGGTAGATTGGTAGGAAGGAATGAGGGTGTGTGGAAGGACGATTATGAAGCTAACTGCGCTTTGAGGAGAAATTTTAGGGTAAAATAATTAATTAGTTTTTTAGCATAACTGTTGCATGTGTTGTTATTGTTGTAATCCTAGGGTATTCCGCTGGTACATGGGGCACTCGCAAGTTGTCTCCACTTAACNAAAACTGATAAACCAAGGCTCGGTAGATTGGTAGGAAGGAATGAGGGTGTGTGGAAGGACGATTATGAAGCTAACTGCGCTTTGAGGAGAAATTTTAGGGTAAAATAATTAATTAGTTTTTTAGCATAACTGTTGCATGTGTTGTTATTGTTGTAATCCTAGGGTATTCCGCTGGTACATGGGGCACTCGCAAGTTGTCTCCACTTAACCCTGTCTTGCGCTTGCTCCTTGACATCACTCTAGATCACGTCGGGAGTCATCTTACTCTCCACGGTGCGTCGCCAATAATGTACAGGGCGACCAGATCTTCTCCTCCAAGCAGTTGCTACTCAAACGCGATTGATGATGCATTGCAAGTGCTATTTATTAAAACCTTAAATAATTATTTTGGATAAGTATTGCACCATCCATTGCTGGAATAAAGTATATTCCAGTGCCTAGTAAACATGGCACAGTGTGTTTCTATAAATACATTTTACTGATTACCACCTGATTGGGATAATCTCATCTCTAGTTTCCAAGCCATATGTCCTTCAACCGAGGATTTGCCAGTAAAGGTAGTTCAGGGTAACCAGGCTTGGCTATGCTAATAGAATTACCAGGGTACAAGAGTGATGATTAACACTAACAATTTTAACTTTAATTAAATGAAGTCGTCGTGGCCTAAAGGATAAGACGTTCGGCGCATTCGTGTTGAGCGATGCACCGGTATTCGAATCTCAGGCGGGTCGGACCAATTTTTCTAATGAAATACGTACTCAACAAATGTTAACGATTGACTTCCACGGTGAAGGAATAACATCGTGTAATAAAAATGAAACCCGCAAAATTATAATTTGCGTAATTACTGGTAGGACCTCTTGGGAGTCCACACGGGTAGGTACCACCACCCCGCCTATTTTCGCCGTGAAGCAGTAATGCGTTTCGGTTCGAAGGGTGGGGTAGCCGTTGTAACTATACTGAGAACTTAGAACTTATATCTCGAGGTGGGTGGCGCATTTACGTTTTAGATGTCTATGGGTTCCAGTAACCACTTAACATCAGGTGGGCTGTGAGCTCGTCCACCCATCTAAGCAATAAAAATTAAAAATTAAAACAACCATGCCTAGGTTGATTGTATTTGTAAAATCAGCTAGTAAAATGTGGGCAATACATAAACTCTTTTTATTTTTAAAAGAAATTTTTAAAACCATATGATATTCTGCTTTTTTACGGATCTACCGTTACACCAATACATATAAGTAGCAAAAATGTAGTTGAGAAATTACTTGTTTAAATGTACCTAGTTTGCTCTCTTCTCACTTAAAAAAAACTTCCTCTAGATAAGCACATTGTATTGTTTTCAGAAAAGAAGGAAAGAGCTTGAGGAATCCTCAGTTAATGATAGTATACTGCTCTCCAAGTCTTCTCTCGACATAGATCTTTTACCAGAAACCGAAGAAGACCGTAATTTAGCCAACCTGCTCTCACTAAAACCTTCAAAAAGCATAGAAGAGAAACAAATCCATGTTCGGAAGAGTATTCTGAACAGTCCAGCATTACCGAGCTCAAGTGGATTGATAACTAGTTTCGGAGGTCTTAAAAAAGAAGAACAATTAAAGAAAAGCAAGATGCTAAGTAGAAATTTATTGGGGATTTCTGTTAAAAAGAAATTTAACAAAACAGAAAAAGGTAACAATGCGGACAAAGATGAAGTAGAGAAATCTAGTGTGAGTACTTTAGAAGTATGTGCAGAGAGGAATGTAAAGAATACAGAATGTGATGAACACAAGATAAATGATGATTCAATAGAACGGTCAGAACAGTTACGTGAAATGAATATTCAAAATCGTGAGAAAGAACAAATACAAGATAAAGAAATAAATAACAGAGATTGTGAACATCACACAAATTTAGTAGTGACCAGTGAAAAGTTAAATGATGAATATTTGAAAGGAAAAGATGGGAATTTAAACAAAGTATCTTTGGTGGTTGATTACAGTTCCAGTGGAGATGGATCTGAGGATGATGGTTGAATAATAAATATATTTTACTACCCCTTGTTCATTTTTTCTTCATTATTTGCTTTAATATAAGATGATGGTCCTTGCTCATATTCTGTTGTATTAAAAAAGCATGCTCCAAGAATTGTCGTCGTCGTGGAGTAAAGGATAAGACGCCCGGTGCATTCGTGTCTAGCGATACAATGGTTTTCGAATCCTGCAGGCGGGTACCAATTTTTTAAATGAAATACCTATTTAACAATTGTTCACGATTGATTTCACGGTGAAGGAATAACATCGTGTAATAAAAATCAAACCCGTAAAATTATAATTTGCGTAATTACTGGTGGTAGGACTTCTTGTGAGTCCGCATGGGTAGGTACCACCAGCCCTTTTATGTCTGCCGTGAAGCAGTAACGTGTTTCGGTTTGAAGGGTCGAGTAGCCGTTGTAACTATACTGAGATCTTAGAAGTCATATCTCAAGGTGGGTGGCGGTATTTACGTTGTAGATGTCTATGGGTCCCGGTTGCCACTTAACACCAGGTGGGCCGTGAGCTCGTCCAACCATCTAAGCTATAAAAAAAAAACTAATATAAAGAAACTATGTAGGTATATTACTTTCACACCAAAAGATACTATAAACACAACGAAAACAAAGAAGTCACTTTATTATTCAATTCAACTATAGCATTTTCCTATCGCCTCGATGGAGTCTGTGTCGAGAGAAAACAAATTAGCTTACACATCATCGTTCAGTGCAACAGCGTCCCTCACGTGTAGGAACGCTGTTGCAACTCCATACAAATTTGACTTAACTTTTACGCGATCGAGAACGTTAAAAAAGACGCATTAAGCACACAGAACCATTTGTCTGATCGCCGTTCTGAGTCTTGGCTACTAAGGACTTTCGGTGTAAATTGATGTAAAAACACTTACCCTATCTCGACTGTACTTTAGGTCAATGAAAAAATCAAAAACTGATAAATATGGAATGAAACAATTCAAATATTTTGTAATTTATTATTTAATTCCATTAAAAAATATCCATAATACTCATGAGATACTATATTTAAACATTAATACACCAGTTACATTTAGATTTCTTAAACACCAATACTTTTAAGATTTTTGTGCAATAATTTTAGAATGACACAGTTTTAGATGACACGCTAATCAAAAACACCAAGCTCAAATAAATCTTACTACATACTACAGTTAAATCTTCCTTCGTGAGAGATAAAACATAAACATTGTGAAAAGACACAGGCAGCCAGATTACGACGGAAATAAAAGCCTCAACCTCTACATACAAGGTCTAAAATCCCGAGGTAGGTCCAAGAAACGCTGGTAAAGGCGGATGTGGAGGAAAATCACCTCACCGAAAAGGATGCCGAAGATCGGGCAAAGTGGAGGAGTTTAAGTTGGAAACCGGACTCTGGTACCAGACCCGGAAAACGCTAGGAAGGAAAAGAAGAAGAGCTTATCCGGCCGCGACGGGGCAACGCCTCAAGCACCGGTCACCGTCCCCGTCGATTACGACGAAGAGTTCGACGAGCGAACTAATCTATAGACACAGCTCACTGAGTTTCTCACCGGATCTTCTCAGTGGGTCGCGATTCCAATCCAGCGGTAGATTCTGCAAAGCACTGCTCTTGCTAGAGCCAGTGTTAGCAAATTCTCTCAGGTTGAGCCTGTGAGCTCACCTACCCGTCCAAGTGTAGCTGGTGTAGTTCTCGGCAATACCTTGGTCCTATACCGCTTCGGTCTTGAGGAATTTTCCATACTAATCCCTGATTTTGAAATCATTTAAAGACACAGTGTGCTTTTAAAAAGAAAAGAAATGTGCTACACTAATTTGAACACTAAACAAAATATGACATAGGCTACTTAAACTTTTTACTTTTTTCATAAGACGGCAAAGAGCACGTCTTCAATTAATATAGTTAGATATGAATACCAATATGTGCCAAAAACTGTGGCAATAGGGAACCGTGTTTTTTTTTATCAATATTACAAAGTACCTGCTTTATCTTGGCTGATTGATATCTGTGTGTGATCATACAGAATGATAATGCATTCCATGCTGATATTGGCAATGCTACTGTAGGGCGAGCATGAATATTCAGGAGACACATGAAGTATTTTAGAACGTGAAACAGATAGTCGAATATGACATCTATAATATATAAATCTAGTGGTTTTTACGAATGTTCCGTTATAACTACTGAACCATGCATCCGATTGACTTAAAACTTGGTATCCATGTAGAAAATACATGTAGGTACTTAATGGATAGGCCAATATTTATATGAGTGTTGGACTCCCCAATAATAATGACAATAAATAATAATGTTAATTTTAAATGCGCAGCGAAGCGGGCGAGTACGGCTAGTTTTATATAAAAATATTATTCGTGAAAAGAATTTGAAAATATTTTTCACGAATAAGAGAAACATATTTACTGTAAGGTCTCGACAGGCGTCACTTATGTTTACATTTTATTCAAGCTCACAGCTTTTAAGTTCTAAATACGCTAAGTTCTAAATAAATTCACTTTCTGTAATTTATTTTGGTTTAAAGACATTTATTTATACGAGAGCATTTAAAACAATGATATTTATTTATTATAGGTATCTACTACATAGACATGACTAGAGCTCTTAAGATTTTCGTAGGAAGCTTAGTACCTACGTAACTACTTAAAACTTATATAAACAAAAATTCGTTTAATATAAAAAATACACAGTTTATAAAAAGACAACAAAATCCTACTTATAAAGTGGTAATAATAATTTCATTTTTAACTCTTAATACTTCTGGCAAACTAAATGAATTTGCGGTAAGCGTAAAAGATAATTATATTCTTTTAAAAGAGAATATAATAAAACAATATTCTCTTATCCATTTTCGTGTTACAAGTATGTGAGTGAGTTCCATAAAAACAAGTCAAGAAAAAGACCTTAAGCTAAAAATATAGGATTATTTTTAAACATTCTATATAAATATTAAATGAACAATATTTTTGTTCGCTGTCTATGTTAACGATCTTCGATAACAATAATCGATAGATTTTACTGGTGGTAGAACCTCTAGTGAGTCCGCGCGTGTAGGTACCACCACCCTGCCTATTTCTGCCGTTGTAACTATACTGAGACCTTAGAACTGATATCTCAAGATGGGTGGCGCATTTACGTCGTAGATGTAATAATTGAAAACTTTACCCCTGTAAAACTGACTAAAATAAATATGCCAACTTGGAAATTAAATATGCCAACGTTCAAACTTTTCCTTGAATTTTTTAAATGATGATTGAATGTTGATTGTTTAATGAAATGTTTACAGAATATTAAAAAACACTACAGAAGGCAGAAAGAAGAAGAAGAATCTTGACTTGATAACATTCTATGATGTCCGAGGTTTGACTTAATGTACTTAATTTAAATAACGATAAATTAATTCAACGCCTGTATTGATACTTCCTTGACGTTTTAAGGATTTTAACAAATAATGTCCATTATTTTCCATAAAAGTAACTCTATTAATTAATTAAATAATATAAATAAATAAATAACTACATATTAATCTTTCGTACTGCTAGCCGCTCTTATTTTCCCGTTTTGTGTGTAATAATTCGTTCAATTATTCGTTTCATGTTTCGTTTCACGTAACAACGACATTAAACATCAAATATGTATTAAAAAAATAAATAGCAAGTTAGTTAGAACCACTAAAACGTAGATTTCTCAAATACTATAAAATTATTATTTGAATACATGTATGTTTTTCAAAATCTAAATGATAGTCATTATTATTAAAGCTAATCTAAAGAAAATTCAACAAACATACGAACATAAACAATGAATAGGTACATTTTTAACTATAGGTAAAAATTAAATAATAATTATGATTAAGTGAGATTAATACTGTTACGTATAATATTACAACAGGGTGTATGAGACCCGTTCGTGAAAGCGAAGTGATATGGTACTTAGTGCTGGTAATTGCATACACGAAATGAACTAAAAAATTAGATTGGATTAAGTGATTTTTAATAACATTTTTGAATTACAATAAGTGACGCGGTAGATCTGCGTTTCAGAGGCAACACGGGGAGAATGTCATGTCACTTTTTTTATATCTTTTTATTTTATCTAAATAATAGCCTTGAGAGGCTATGTTAGTGTACCTAAGCCTAACGTGTAGGTGAACTCTCAGG